GCAGAACCTCTTGTCAGGACCTCAAAGGGCTCTGAGAAGAGTCAGCGAAGGGCAACGTTGAGTGGCTTTAGAGCTGAGGGAGCAGAGCACATGGCCAATTCCTCCTGGGATCCTTCCCTCTCTGCCAGCAGCCCAGCGCGTACCTCTCTGGGGAAGGGAATTGGGGGAGTGTGAGATTCCAGCCAGTGGAGGAGAAGGGGGCTCCGTGAGGGGCTGCTTAAAATAATTGCTGGTGCAGAAACCAGAGGACTTGCTAAAGCTAAGTTTGGAGCAAGATCGGGGAGGGGTGTGCCTGCGGCTGGGGCAGATGGCGTGCTGGAAGCTGCGAAGCCCATGCAGCTGCCTGCTCTCTTCCTCTGCTGGAACCTGAGAGGGAGGCTCCTGGGAGCAGGAGCCAGGCGGAGGAGGAGGCTGGGGCTCATAGCCTGGGTCCCTGAAGACGGCATTCCAGAGTCCTGGAAGCATCTGCCTACAGGCTTCAGAGTACCCAGGCCATCGGAAAGGCCGAGTGGAGGTCAGGCCACAAGCTCAGTTCCAGAGAAGGTTTGACTCTGAAACCTGCAGGTGACTCAGTTCCTGAAACTCCCTGGAAAGTTCCTCGTTCCATCCCCAAACCCAAGCGCCAAACCGGATGCCATGGAGTCAGTCCTGGGACACGGCATGTCAGAGGCTCTGAATCTTCGTGTTTTGTCACTTTATTGGGAGCGCTTGCAGCTATCATCCCATTCCCTAATTCAAATGGATCGGGCACAATTGTACAATTGCTACTACAATCAGTTTCAAAACATTTTCTTTCTTCTTGAACTCTTTGATGTCAGCTCCCCTTTACCCCCTCCCTCCCAATCCTTCCCCCCAGGAACCCTTATTGCTATTGTTATATATTAATATTCTATTATTGTTGTTATAATATATTTACAGCCATATCTCACCCCATCCAATATATCCATCCACCTACATTTCTGTTATATGCTCCCCTCAAGTGGGCTTATACAGTTATCATGACCATCAGTTCCTCCTTCCCTTTCCCCCAACCCCCTGTCTTCCTGTATCCTCAGGGAATCATTACTCCCATTGCTGTTTCTGAAGGGTCATCCATCCTGGCATTCCTGCATCGAATGATCTAAATTATACAAATGAACACACGCAGGTCCAACAATATTAATGAAGTAAAACATAAGCCTTAATAGTGAGGGGAGGGGAAAATGGTAGGGAAGGAATATTAAAGAACCAAAGGATAGTTCTGTGTTTTAGCAATGCTCTACCGCACCCTGGATTTATCATTCCTTCTGTGTCGGCCCTTCTGAAAGGGACTGTCCGATTATCTTACAGGTTGGTTTGGGGTCTCCACTACATCCACACCTCACATCAATTTGGTTGCTTGTTTTTGAACTTCTGATACCTCTTCTGTCAACATCTCATGATCGCACAAGCTTCTTCCATGTGGACTTTATTGCTTCCCTGCTAGATGGCTGCTTGTTTTTAACTCTAAGCCTTTAAGACCCCAGATGCTATATCTTTTAATAGCCGGGCACCATCAGCTTTCTTCACCATATTTTCTTATGTAATCATTTTGTCTTTAGCGATTGTGTTGGGAAGATTATTAGAACAGGGCCACATTATTAGAACAAACTATTCTTCTACTGAGTTAAGATTTTAGTAGAGGCCCAAAGTCCATCTGCTTCCTTAGTTTATTTACATATATGTACATGTATAGATAATACACCTACATTTATATAATTATATATGTACAGATTCATATATCTATATTTATACATATATATATATTTTTTTTACTATCTTCTTCTTCTTTCTTTCTTTTCTTTCCTCCTGAGAGGCTGTGAATCTTTACAGGAGCAGACAGCCTCAGTTTCCTTTCCTGGAGGGGCTGATATGTTTGAACCGCTGACTCTGCAGTTAGCAGTCCAGTGCTTATCAGACAGCTCCATGGAGCTCCTTCCTAGTTCCATTCCTGTTTATTTATTGAGGAGAAATTCACACAACATACAAGTAACCATTATGGTGTTTTAGGGTACAAGAGACCCCAATCTCTAATATAGTTTAACAAGAACATTCATGAAGTCTTAAGTGGGACAAAGACAGAAACACATCATCTGGATGAAGGAGTCCACTAACATGAAGCCAATGCGGCGAACAGGGCATGGAACACAGGAAATGCCCCAATTCATGATCACTCGCAGGTCAATACATCACAGTTACAACTAGGACTTCAGAAGCAGAAATAGGATCCTGCTGGGAACATTAGGTTAGATATTAGGTAGGAGAGTTTACAAATTGGTCCAGGGTCTTCCGGCTAAGGCAGTCAGGGCACAACTGATAGAGCATGATTCATGACTATGCCACCCCCAGTTGTGTCCATCCAGGAGAGACCCAGGCCAGCCCCTAAGGCACCCTGCCCTTCCCTGGGCTGGCTGGAGAAGGGTGGAGGTGACCCAGTGTTTGGTACACTCTGCCTGAGGGCAAGGTTGTTCTCAGCCCTCGTTCATGGTCAGAAGGGATTCCAGGCAGGCTTACTCTGTGTGGGGACTCCCCATGTGGATTTTGGGTCCCTTCCCTGTCGTCCATAACTTTCTGCAAAGGAGGTGCTCAGAATTTAAGCTCCAAAACCAAAAACCAGACTCACAGCCAGCAAGTCATTTCTGACTCATTGTGACCCAACAGGTCCAGGGAGAACTGCCCTGTGGGCTTCTGAGACGGGAACTCTACAGGAGTAGAAAGCTTCGTCTTTTCCCCTCGGAGAGGCTGGTTTCAAACTGCTGGCCTGGTAATCACTAGACCACGAGGGCTAGCACACAATTCCGTGATTGGTTAGTGCATTCTCAACACCTTGCAACCACCCCCCCACTTCTATCTCGTTCTAAAGCTTTCTCATCATCCCCAGAGGAAGCCCTGTACCCCATCCAGCAGCTCTCCTGTCTCTCCGGCACCCACAGTCCCTAGCATCCACCGATCAGCATCTCCATAGGGGGACCTACTGCAGTTACATCACACAGCGGGAGCGGGTGACCTTTGGTGTCTGGTTCTTCATTTAGGGTGATGTTTTGGAAGTTTAGCCACATTGTCTCGAGCTTCGAGACGTCGTTCCTTTTGATGGCTATGGTAGTTACATTATCTGGTGTCAATTTCAGAGGATGACGAGTGAAGGGGTGGAGTCTGGCCTGTCAATCAAAATATAACCAATGAGGCCTCTGTGTGGGCATGGCCTTCTCCTGAGAGTTCTGGGAACTCCTGTTTTTCCTCCTTGGAGGCAGAAGACACTTCTCTATCTCTCTTGGTTCACTCCCTTGGAGACTCTCCCTTGTGGCAAAGCTCACTCCCTGTGAGACATCCCTGAGGAGAAGCCACATGGACCTACCCTGATGCAGCCCTGGGTGCTGGAGAAGCCACGTGGAGACCCCTGCCAGCGCTGAAATGCTTACAACACCACTGGATCCAGGACTTCCCACCCACTGGCCTGTGATCGTCCTGCATTCGGCATCATTGCGTGTGTTTCGTGCATCAGAAGAGGACCTCATAGATTAGTGTTGGACATATGGACTAATATTGGATTTAGGGACTTGATCTGGACTGGGCTGATTTCTCAATGTTCAATTGTTCTTGTATATAAATCTCTTTCTTATACACATATGTGTGTCATGGATTTGTTTCTCTAGTCTACCCAGACTAACACAATAGCTGAATAATGATATTTCATTGCATGGGCATGTCTGATTTAAGCGGTTTCTACCTTGGGGCTATCTCTGATAATGCTGCTACAACCAGGCCTGTGCTTGTGCTTGTGGACCATTCCTGGCCCTCCGTTCTTTGTGGGGACACACCAGGCAGTGGGGCTGCTGTCTCATGTGAATCCACCCTCACACTTTTCTAGGAACTGTCCCGTGGTCTTCCAGCCGGTTCATTCCAGTCTGACCCCCTTGCTGAGAATTTGCATTTCTCTCCCAGACATACTGAGTCCAAATCCAACATCTTAGCAAGATCCAAGATGAACGGCCTCTTGCAAGGCCTGCTCCTGACAGCTGCCGCCGGGGCTCTGGGTACGGTTGTCGGATGAACATAGGCTTGAGTGGAAAGTGGAGATCCAGCTACGGGACACCACTGCTCCCAAAACCCAGGTCCAGGTCCGGGGAGCAGGGAAGTGACCAGGGGCGCTGTTGTGCTGGCTGGGTGGGCGTTTGCACTGTGAGCCCCAGGGGGTGATTTGCTAGTGGAGGCTGCTCTCCACTAGGAAAGCACAGAGGACTGGAGTCTCAAAGTGCGGTCCCCAATCAGTAGCAGGAGCACCAGTTGAGAACTGGTTAGTGATGGAACTAATCCTGTGGCCTATCTCAGGTTTAAGGACTCTCCAGGGATGAAGCCCACCAGCCCCCCCCACCTCCGTCAGTGTTAGTAAGCCCTCCAGATGGTCCGGAGCCCACTTCATTTAGAGCCTCTACCTCACCCTAAGGGGGAGCCCTTGTTTAGTGAAAGAGACAGCGCCAGCCTTAGAAGCAAGCTCGCGGCTTGAAGGAAGAGCGCACTGTGCCTTCTGATGGGGAAGGCAGAGTCTGGCCATCCGAGAGGGGCATCAGATGCAAGCCCCTCTAACAGGAGGCCACCCCTTCCTGGACACCACAGGCTGCAGGCTGCTTTGTAGGGGGCTGGCTTCAGTCAGGACCCCAGGGAACCACGCTCCAACTTTCTCCACTCTATGGAAAGAAAGTGGGTTTGATGTGCTAAAGAAGGCATCAATTATTGATCATCATTAGCATTCATGACAATAACAAGCAGGGAGGGGGGACCCACAGGGAATGGGGGAGGGTCTTTTGAAATTTGCGGTGGTTTGCTCTTCTCCTGAGGGATAGGAGGGGGAATGAGAGGGTGGGAGTTGGAGACAGCAGAGGTTCAGGGATGCTGGAGTATTAGCCGCAACCAGAAGCTCCAGAAAAAGGCTCTGGGCAGTGGCAGGCCCTCCATGTCCCCTCCCACTCCAATTGTTGCTCCAGGTGCCAGGTCAAGGCCCTGGCCCCTCCCCGGAACAGGACCAGATCCCAGGCCCCCAGCCCCTCCCTGCCCTGGACCTCCCTGGTCCACCAACTCACCCTCTGCCACGGCTAGGGCGGTGGCTCTCCCTCTGCCCCATGGGCCCAGGACTTCCTAAAGGCTACGGGGGTCATCCAAGTGGCAGAGTGAGCAGCACAGTGCCCCACACATAATTTCCACAGCACCCTTTGCTCGATGCCTACCCCCAAGGCCATGTCCCCTTCTCTGTCCACCCCAGGACCCCAGATACTGGTCCGGGTGCCCGCCCTGCTCCTCACTGCTCCTGGGGGGAAGGAGAGGCAGGCTGGCAATTTGCACCACCTCCCTCCCAGGAACAGAGCAGCTGGGGGAGCTGTGGGAATGTTCAGGAAGGGCAAGAGGGCTAGTTGTGATCTGAGGTGCCCGGGCCCCAGACATGCCAGCCGCACCCTTCCGAACCAAGAGCAGTGCCAGGGATGCCGCCGGGGAGGGGGGCCAAGGGAGGGAATTTACCTGTTGAGGAATGAGAGTGGGGGTGGGGGTGGCACCTGAGGCATCTCAGGTGGAAGCAGCTGGCACAAGTTTTGCCCGGGCACCGTGCCAGATCACAGGAGCAATCCTGGTCTTGAGGCTGGAGAAGTAATCCCTGAGCCGTCCTGGCCCTAATCAAGTGCCACGTGCTCCCTGCCTCCCTCCCTGGCCCCAGGAGCTCCTCCTTTTGAGGTCTGAAGGGGTGGGGGGAGAGCCAGGGGGTGGTCAGTGAGGGGCAATGATGCTTGACCCTGTATCTTCGAGCCCACTCTGGAGCCTTTCAGGTCCTCTGAGGGATCCCTGGGAGGCAACTATCCAGAGTAGGTGGGGAGGAGTGAGGCTCCTTTGGGTAGCCAAGGGAGAAGGGGACCAACTGAGCTCACAAGCTCTGAAGATGGCCTGCACTAGGGACCCTCTCCCCTTAGAAAGGGAGCTATACGAATAACAACAGATGACCTGGTTTTGATTTGATCTCACCTGGAGGAGGTCCTGGTGGTGAGAGATGTCACCCAGGGGAGGGGAGGATGGATGCTTTGTCTTGCTGACATTGCTGGCATGGTCCTCCATTGCTGGGGCTCCTGGGCCTTACAGGGACAGGCTGGCTCACAGACCCTCCTGGGCTGCCCCCTAGTCAGAGGCTGCTTCGTGTCTCTCTGCGTCTTCGGGGCAGAGAACTCTTCATCTGGGGAGATGGGCATCTTCTCACCGGTCATCTGGAGATGATGCCCGGGGCTGTGTTCCCGCCACAGCTCTCTGTCCTAAGCCTCTGCCACCTTTCTGCACCCAGTGACCGACCGTATTTGGTGGGACTTTGGTGTGCCAGGGACTGCTGCCTGCTCCAGGTCGCCCACAGGGTTCAAGAAGGTGGTGGTTTAAAAAAAAAGAAAAAAGGTTGGGGGCTTCGGGACAGGACTTACTTTTTCATGCTGGGCCTATCTCTTGCTGAGAATTTGCCTTCAGACCCACATTTTAAGGGCCTCAGGATGGGGAGCTTGTTAACATGCCATTTCTCAGCAGGCAGGGAGTGGGGTGAGAACGAACCCGTTCGAAGCCCAGATTCCCATCGGATCTGGCAGACCTGGGTTTGGACCTCACCTTTGTTGCTACTAGGTTGGGGAGGTAGCCAGACATGCCTGAGCCTAGACTCCTTGACCTTTGAAGAGGGCCCAAAAGACCCACATCTGCAGACTCCCTTCCTCTTAAACCAAGCCCACTGCCACCCGAATGACTCCGGCTCAGAGAGATCCTATGTAGGGCTTCCATGGTGGTAGATCTTTACTGGGGCAGCAGCCTCAGCTCTCTCCCTCCGAGCAGTTGTTGTGTTTGAACCAATCACCTTGCAGCCAGAGTCTAAAGCTGACTCCACCAGGAAGCCAATGTGGGCATGAAGTGGAGAAGGAAAGAGGCCTTCCAGAGAGGACCCGAGTGAATGGAGGAGCTGCTCATGCCCTGGCCCTGGGCTCCCAAAGACTTGGAAAGTGGTGTCCACGCAGCTGTGGGGAAGCTGCCCCTGCCCGCTCTGAACCCTCCCCTCCACTGGGCTGCTGCCTCCTATGCCATCCTGGGCAGACAGCCAGGCAGGAGCTGGATGGGTGCCCACTGCTTGCTCAGAGGCCAGAAGATGGGCACCATCCAGTTGGCAGAGGGAGAGACATCTGGCCCAGGAGGGGAGAAGTCAGGGTGCCGACTGCTGGGGTCGTGTGCCCAGATGGTGGGTTGGAGACATGGCTCTTGGCTGCCCTCCTGGGCTGTCCAGCTGGAGCTGGGAAGGACCCCCACGTCCTGCAGCCTTGGCTCTGCCACCTGAGTTAATGCAGGGGAGGGGCATGTGGGACCTTGCCCCTAGTTGGGAATGTGTCTGGCTCAGGAGAGGCCTGGGGGCGGGCTGAGAAGTGGAAGGTGCTAGATTAAAGCTGCAACTGGGTAGTCCAGGAAGTGGGGGAACCGGTTTGTCATTCCTGCCACGTGGGGTGGGGTCTCCTTCTTAACTCTGTGCCTACCTGCCACTCTGCCCATAACCCAGTGGCCCACAGGGAGGAGATGCACGTCCGCCCTTTCTTGCTCATCTAACCCGGCCTCGGGAATGCCTGGAGTGAAGACAGGGCCCGGGCGGCTCAGCGCCCCTTCCCCTGCCCAGGAGAGCCTTGGGAAGGAAGGGCTGGGCCGCAGAAGGGGAGGAACGGAGGGAAGGAGCGATCCCAGCCTCAGGCGGAGTTGGTGCGGGTCAGAGCTGGAGAGGCGGACAGAACCCACAGGTAGGCCAGGCACAGAGGGGCGAGGAGGGCATGGGACCCGAGCTGGCGCGCGGCGGGCTGTCCCAGAGGTGGCAACAGCGCCGCCCGGCCAGGCGTGAGAAGGGGCAGTAGTCTGGATGCGTGGCCTGGGTTTGGGGGTCCCACCGGGCAGCTGAGCACAGCCCCCCCGCGTTTCCAGCACGGCCCCTGAAGTTCCAGCAGCCGCCTGCAGGAGGGGTCGCAGCCAGAGGTGGGGTAGGAGGCGGTCCAGCAGGGGGCGCCGGGAGGCTTCTGTGGTGCCGAGCCCGTCTCCAGAGCGCGGGGGGCGCGCGGCTAGAGGCCGGGGGAGTCCGACTGTGCACCGGGCCGCGGTTGCTTTGGAGGTCACCTTGGCTAGAGGGGCCCCCAGTTTCGCCGCTTCTTCCCCGCCTGCCGGCCCCTGCTCCCGAGGGCTTCTCCATCCCTCGGCGCGCCTAGACTCGCACCCCAGGAGTGCCCGGCCCTCGAGATGCTCGCCCCCCA